TCTCTCTCTCTCTCTCTCTCTCTCTCTCTCTCTCTCTCTGTGTGTGTGTGTGTGCGTGTGTGTGTCCCTCAGTCCCTCCCCCCTCTCTCACACACACATCATGACTCCATAGGGTTTGAGCTTAGTGCGGTAATGTCCTGTGTGATTCAAGCCATTAGCAACCTATAAAGCATGAAAATCTTGACTCATTCATGAGGTCAAGGTGTTGGAGAAGACTGAGACCATAGGGATCTCAGTGAAGAGCATAAGGAGGCCTAGGGACAGGAATGGAGGACATGACTTACTAAACTGGCTTGGAATAAAACTGCTTGGTGTGAGATATAGTGAAAGGTTATAGGTGACAGCTAGAGAAATATCCGGGATTAATTTCAAGGACTGAGGTGAATATTTAAACAACAAATAATTGTTGATAGATCAGAAACCTATAATGAATCAGACAAACCATGAAGACAGAGTCTACTGGGAAAAGGGAAAAGGCAGAGAACTCTAAGTTATACTGTATGTGATCTTTGGTGAATGGGGATCAATTTGTAGTGAGTAGTTGTTCCAGCTTTGACCTGAAAGTACTACCCCTATTGAGGCTTCTGGTAGCTGCCATGCCTACCTATGACCTGCCCCTGAGGCAGGGCTGAGACAGGAGCCCTAAAGACCTTGGATAAACTGTCCTGCCGTAACCAGAATTGGCTATGCAAGAATATTCTAGATAGGGTGGCTAATACATTTTTGTTCGCACATCTAACACCATCTGGAAGTACTTTGTTTTTCATGAAAAAATACAGATCATGTGATTTATTCTGTTTCATTACTGTAGAAAATGTTTTATAAACAAAATTGACTAACAAAATAGCCATCAAAATAAAAGAACAGAACACTTCTATGTAGTCAGTTCATTATTAAAGTGATTTCTGATGCCATGAATTTTGAGACCTAAGATCCAAAATAGATCAACACAGAACTGGTGTATTTGGGTCAAAATATACTGAAATCCTAAATGACACTATGGCATATATTAAGAATATATTTCAGCTCTAACCAGTCCATGTGGCACAGAGACACAGATAACCTACTTAAGCTTTTTAGCACAGCTGGACCAGTATCTCTGCTCAAGACAATTTACAATTCTCACATCCTGCAGCAGTTTGTGCCAGAACTATCCATAAAACCCAGCCAGGACCATCCATCTTATCCCCTGGACCAACTTGGTTTAGATCAGTTACCCATCATCTGTTCCAGCCCGGTTTTTTTCTACATTAGACACACAACCAACACAAGAAGTTCACATGTACACATATCATCATACTTACAATATGAAAGGACAAGACAATATTGCCCCCACCACCATCAATCCACCAGTACTCTAGAAATGTTCTCCAATGAAAATTATGTAGACAGACTCCAGGACACAGAACTTAAAAAGAAAAATCATAAACAATAGACTTCGTTAAAAACTTTAAAGAGTAAGTCTCACAGAGAGAGAGAGAGAGAGAGAGAGAGAGAGAGAGAGAGAGAACAGAGAGAGAGAGAAGAAAAAGCACCTCAGTGAACTTAAAGAGAATGAACCAAAGGCGAGAAGAATCCCAGATAAAGAAGAAGGAAAATCTTTCCATGTGACAAACAGACTAAAATAATTCATGTCCAAACCCATCCATAGAGAAAATAGTGGAAACAATACTTTAGACTGAGTGGAATATGCATAGCTAAGCTAATCAAAAGAAAAACAAGTACTCAAAGCTATAATTAGTTAAAAGTAAAACACAAAACAATAAAAAGTGACTGCTATCAACACACACAATTCATTGGTAGCTTTAAATATTAATGGTAATAGCCTCAATTTTCTAAGCAAAATACACAGGTCATTGGAATGGATAAGAAACAAAATATATCTTCCTGTTCTCTTCAAGAAACTCACCTTAGCTTTTAAGCCAAGAGATGGAAAGCTGGCTCTAATTAAATGGATCCAAGAAGCAAGCTGATATCACTGTCCTAATATCTGACAAAACATACTTCATGCTAATCTAATCAGAGGAGATAAAGCAGGATGCTTCACTCAAATCAAAGGAAAATTAATCAGGAAGACATTACATTTTAAACATATATACACCAAACTCTGTTGCACCCAGTTCCATAAAACGTGTACTACTAGAATTGAAGATGCAGATCACATAGATTAACATCAACCTATTAATAATAGGTGATTTTAGTACCCCACTTACTTCCTTAGGTAATCAAGACAGAAACTAAACAGAGAAACATTGGAATTAACTGACACTAAACAGACTTATCAGATTATACAGAATATTTCACACAAGCACTAAAGAAAATAAAGAACATACATTCTCTTCAGCATCCCACAGAAGCTTCTCTAAATTAGACCATATCCTAGGACACAAACTAAATCTCAGCAAATTCAGAAAATTTAAATACCGTATCTATTCATGGTTCAATATAACAAAATCAAACCAACAAATCTCTACTAACTCCACAAACCAACTGAGATTAGATAAATCACTATTGAATGATGAATGGGTCAAAGAAGAAATGAATAAAGAATATTTTTTTAAATTCCTGGTACCAAACAAAATAAAAACAACACAACAAGACTTCTGGGATTCACTGAAATCAGTCCCATGAGGGAAATTTATATCTCTAACTGCCTCTATTAAAAAAATCAGAAAGAGCACAAATAAATAACATATGATGTGTGATTGCTGTTCTTAGCTGTCAGCTTGAATGCATCTGGAATTAAGTAGGATTCAAGTGGCTGGGTACACCTGTGAGGTTTTTTTTTTTTTTTTTTTTTTTTGTAATGATCATCATTTGAAGTTGGAAGACCCACCTTTAATTTATATCCTCTGAGGCAGGAAGACCCACCTTTGATCTGGACCACACCTTCCACGGCAGCCTATATGAAGGACACTGGTAGAAGGAAGCCTTTGCTCTTTGCATGCTTGCCTTCCCACTCATTGGCAAGTTAATTTCTTTACTGGCATCAGAGACTCCTTCTTCAGGATTCTAGCATCTGCTGAAGGCCAGCTGATACCTGCAGCCTCATGTACTGAACAACTGCGAGAGTCTCGGACTTTCTGTTGGTGGACAGCCCTTGTAGGACCAGTTAGACACAGCCTGTAAGCTACTCCAATAAATCCCCTTTCTATACATATTCATTCTGTCAATTGTGTTTTTCTAGAGACCCTGACTAGCACACGATATAACTCAAGAATCTGGAAAAACAAGAACCAACAAAACGCAAATCCAGCAAAAAGAAAGAAATAATAAAAACTGAACACAAATTAATGAAATGGAAACAAAGAAAACAATACAATAATAAGGGAATCTAAGAGCTTGTTCTTTGGGAGGGTGAACAAGGTCAACAGACCCTTGGCTCAACTAACCAAAAGGGCAAAAGTTATGAGCCAAATGAACAGCATCAGAAATTAACAGGGAAGCATTACAATAAACAATAAAGAAATTCAGAATATTATAGGAGAATGCTTTTTATTGGAAAAATCTAAAAGAAATGAACAAATTTCTAGTTTTTGCAAACCACCAATGTTAAACCAAGAAGATACCAAAAACTTAAACAGACCCATAATAAATGAGGAGATGGAAACAGTAATAAAAAGCCTCTGGACTGGAAAAACTAACAAACAACAACAGAAATGCAGGCCCAGATATTTTCGTAGTAGAATTCTACCACTATGTTTAAGGAACTCCCCTATCTGTCATCCCCACACAGGTCCCTTGTGCAAAGAATTTTACCTTACCACCCAGCCACTTCTTTCTCCCAGTCTAGTCCCATGAGTCTCCCTGGCCCTCCTCACCATGCTCCCTTCCCAATCCACCAAATCTAGCCATCTAGCTGGGCCCCATATCTGATGGGCTAACCATGCTCCACCTAATAGACTGTTTAACAGAAGTCCCAATACTAGAAATAACCTTTCAAGTTGCTGGTCAGAGAAACCCATATAAACTTCAAAACAGTAGAGGCTCTTTCTGTTGCTTTTGGTTGCCTTTCAGACGTTGAAGTTCTTATTGCTGCAAACACCATGTCCTTTGCCACAATTTTCAAGGATTCAACCTTGATCTGACTAGAAAGCCTCCTTCTGGAGGAGTAACTCTCATATCACCAGAAGGTGCTATGCAAGCTTCCAAGAGAGGTAAGTAACCAAGAATCCTACCCAGCTATGACACCTATGAGTCACAATGGCCACTATCATGGTGGTGATATAGTAGCACCTTCTTACTTGACAAAGATATGTCCAGGACATCTAGTAGATTCCTGAAAACATAAAGCATACCAAAACCATACATACAATACAGTTGTTTGTATCCATAGATGTCTATGGAAAATATTAATTCATGAATTAGACATAGTGGGAGATCAGTAGCAATGAATAATAAAATAGAACTATGGTAAGGATAAGCATAATAAATTTTGTGAATGTGACCTTTTTCAGAATGCCTTTTCTTCTTTTTGAGAGTATAATATAATTACATATTTTCCCCTTCCATTTGTCCTTCCAAATACTTCTACATAGACCTCCCTGCTCTCCTTCAAACTCATGGCTTTTTTTCCACTAATTGTCATTATATGCATATATATAAATGTATACACACATATATGTTCCTAAATATAGCTTGTTTATTGAAGACAATGCTATCTTTAACTATGTTTCCCTGGAAGACCATCAGGCACTGGACAAACAATGGGTGTGATCTTCTCTAGGAAGGGCCACCTCTCCTGCTTCCAGCTTTCCTCAGTTGCCTATAGTTCTTTGTGTAGAGTTGAGGCCTCATGGGCTTTTCCCTTTACAGTTTGGAAAGTCAATTGGTGCCATCCTTGCTCAGCTCATATTTGGGCAGCCATGTTGGTGAAGCTTTATGAATGTAGCTTCTCAAACTGTGTTTGCCCTTCTTGGTATGATGGGAAATGTTATTTAATGGAAGAGCTTCACACCTTTTCCATTTCGTATCTGACTATCTAACACCACCACTCTTGCAACTTGGAACTCATCCACATTAAAATGAGAGTTGCTTGAGTAGAGGCCCTATGAGTTCATGATGGCTGATCAGAAAACCTAATAAGTGACTAGCCCCAAGGTAGCATACCAAATGTGGATCCGTCGGAGAAAGGGTGCACATCCTGAGGGTCACTGGAGTAGGATGATGCAAGAATTCATATGCAATCAGAATGCTATACCATTCAAATTTACAAGTCATTTCTAGAAGTTTCCTTTTACTGTAGTTAGGTGTATTATTTTAACTTTTTATTAATCATTTGCTATTTGACACATTCATCCGTGTCCATGATGCTTTCTCATGGCTTGCTCTGCTTTTGTCTTATTTCTCACTGGCATCCTTGCCAGTTACCCTTCTCTAGATCTCCTTCTCATGCTCATGACTTTTTACTTTCTTCTGTGTCCCACAGAGTTGAACTTTGGCCATCGTCATGGCCATGGGTTTGGAACATACATTAAATCCTGATGGACTCACCACTGAGTACATGACTGAGTTTAATACCTCCTCACTCCCAGAGTAAGTTGTTGCCAATAGTTCAATGGCAAATGGTAGGATAGTGCTGCCCCTGCCCTGCCCATCTCATTCAGTATGTTTAGCCTATAGTTAACTTAGTAGGGGAAAGAAAACTTTGAATAAGGAAGACTACTGCCCAAGATTCTTCGATCTTATTATCTCTAAATAAAATATCCACATATTGCATATCATTAAAGTGTTTCTGACAGTGAAATAAATTATCTTAAACCTAACAGATTTTCAAGAGTAAAATGAATTTGAGGAATTATTGCTTATTCCTGTAGGGAAGACATTGAGGTAGCTATATCAAGCCTGGAAAAATTCTCAAATGAAAGGAATCTCTCAAAACGTCAGCCTACCTATACACAATTCACTTTGAGCCTGAAAGGGAGGGAAGCTAGCCCAATTCAAACTGGAGTAGCATTGAAGTTGCACACAATTTCTTGCCATGAAACAGTCCCTCTGTGATAATGGCATGGCTGTGGTATGATGTGATCATAATGCTATTCATTTTGTGGTGATAAAGTATGTGCCCCACTTGCCAACTAGAACATGCAGTTCAGCTAACAATTCTCTGCTGCCCCAAACTGTCACTGTGGCATCGAAATGTCTCCTCGTTGGGGACTTCAAAGATGACTGCTGACACCGCAGACAGCAGACAGCAGAAGTTACTTGCCTGTAGGTTTAGTAAAAAATAAATAAATAAATAAGAATAAAAAATAACCATGGCTGAGAATACAGCATAGTGGAAGAGTGCTAGCCTGTATGTTCAAGGTCCATGGTTCAACTCACAGAACCGCAAAAAGAATTTTATTAAACATACCCACAGAAACAAAGATATGTAGCCTCCTTAATGTCCAAATGCAAACTATCATCCCAAAGTAGTAAAGTGATGAGAGCCTGAAATTCCTGAAGAAGAAGAAGAAAAAAATTCACACTTTGGAAAGCAGATTTTAATCCCATGATTAACACCATCGTAAAACACTCCCTGATAGTTTCAGTCCACCTTTCTTTCTCTCCCACTCTCCCTCTTTTCTTCTCCATCTTACTTTTTAAACTCTTTTTCCTTCCATCCTTCTCTTCCTCTCTTCCTCTTCATATACCACTTGTATGATGTTGTCCTATATTCCCTATGAATAGTATGCTATTCAAGGACAAATAAGTATGTTTTCAGGGACAGAAGCAAAAGCTGCACTCCAATTTCCAAAACTCCTAGTCTATCAAGCTGGAAATAAGCCCACTCACTTTCAGTAGAGCTTAATAATGTGTAGTATGATAAAAAAAAATGTTGTTGAAGACATCTATAAGAGCACAGAGCAAGTGAGGATGGGAAGTAGTGTCATAAAATGAGATATTATTATTTGAAACAGAGAGAGAGAGAGAGAGAGAGAGAGAGAGAGAGAGAGAGAGAGAGAGAGAGAGACCAACCGACAGACAGACAGAGACAGAGGGAAGGGCATGGCAGGAGAGAAGAGGCCACAGGGCCACTTAGACAAAATGATAGAATGTGCGCAGCCCATCTAATGAAAAGTAGCACAGCACCTCCACAGACTGTAGGAGCCGAGCGCTGGGACGGAAATGGCAGGTGTGTAAAGAAGCGTTAGCAGGCAAGGTGGAGCAAACAGCAGAAGTGAGAGATGGAGCAAATGAACATGGTGCTTGGAGCTGTATTCTCTCAGGGCAAATCACTGAAAGAAATTTGATATGACCAGATTTTCATTTTGAGGAAACTATGTGGAGGTTAAATTAGAGTGGATTACAGTAAGGAGTCTTAGAGGTTATGTGATGGGTTAAGTAAGATTGCAGCAATGGATGGAAAGAGGTCAGGACAGATAGAAGAGGAAGAAGGATGATGTGGAATGATGCATTCAGAGCTCAAAAGTGAAAGAGAAAAGGATCCCAAGGTTATTTGTGGTCTTACTTATTACTGCTTAGTATTTTTTTGTTTTTGTTTTTGTTTTTGTGATTTTTTGTTTGTTTTTTTTACCATGGTTGAGTTTCAATTATGCATGATCAGAGCAAGTGAATCCTGTGTTGTGTAGGCAAAATATACATTCAATTCTGACTGTTTCCTCCTCCATCCATGGTAGAGGCATCTGAAATTCTTTCATTATGGTATTTTACTGCTGCTATTCCAAGACATGCAATATCACAGGAATCCCAAATCTAAAAAGTTTTGGATTCTGAGAGTCAAAACTTCAGAAAGCTCCATAATTATGGGGGCCTCATCTGAAGAACCTTGATATTAACTAGAATACTGGGACTGGACAAGCGGAGCAATAATAATACAGAAGGAGCGTCACTCACATACCTGGTAATTGATTCTGAGTATTAATTATCCTGGGACTGCAGCTGGGACAAAAACAGTTGGGGTGGACAAATTGACATACCAAGAGTCATCAAGAGCTGGTCATGCATCTCACAAGGTGATAAGCACCTCAATTAAATATCATAATTTCATTTACCCCTTAATTTCCACAGCAAATGGCACAGAACTTCATAGATCATATGTCCCTGTTAAAAGAAAACAGTTAAACCAAATTAAGTTGCAACATGGAAATGTGGATGTTGTTTCCTGAAAGTTGAGAAGGGAAATGTGTAAGACCCATGTCATGTTACTTTGTTGGACTCAACAACAACAAGCCTGACTTCATTCATCTCCTCCATGTTAATTTCCTTAAGCCTCTCCAGGGCAGGAATTTTTTGGACAAAATGACAAAGTTCATCCCCAACCACTGCATAGACAAAATGTGAGTTCTGCTAGATATCCCTTGTTTCCTGTCAATCCAAATAATAAATTCAGTGTCCCCTAGATTTCCTGACATAGGGCTGAACACCTGGCAGATGTCTGAGAAATTCTAAGGAGTTACAATCAAGTGTTTTTATTGAGGAACATTGTTGAGAAAGTAAGAAGCAGAGGATATCAAATTATGCTGAAGTCATGATTCTGATACCATTTCAGACTTGACAAACATAAAACAGGGTTGATTAAGCACTCACTAGAGGGAAGTAAAGCTGGTAATAGAAAACATATGAAGAACAACAACCACTGTGTCCAGGATGTTAGAGTCTCCACACAAGCCCCACTTTGGCAATAAGGCACACAATCCGGCCCTGTGTTACTGCCTAAGTCTCTTCCTAGTAATGGCCTGAAGCTGAATAGGACCACTTGTTGAAGATGACCCCTTCTCTGTAGAGTGAGCTCCATATGGGGCTGCTGGAGGCGGTTGTTGGAAGCCTAACTCCTGTCACAGACTAATTCCTTTCTATTTGCTACCTAGAAGTGCTCAAACTGTGAGCACTTTCCAATGAGTTTCCTATGTGCAGATCTTCACAGTCTATTTCTGATGCTGACCAAAAACATACCCATCCAAATAAGAGTTCTTCAGGGACTTGAATATCAATCAAAGGCTTTCTGGGAGGACTCTAAAGACAGATGTCTCCAAGTCAAGAAAGACTGGGGACTTATATTTGAGTTTTTGTTGTATGTGGTTATTGCTAAGCTACATCCCTTGTTTAGTGTCCTTGGTACAATCCTACTACCATCTGAAATTTTTTTTCCTCATTATTGAAAATCCAGTGGTTCATCATGTAGCCTAATCTTGTGAGGCAAGTGAGTTAGTTATACAACCAATCAGTGAAAGGAAAACAGAAAAGACAGCAGGGAGTGAGGACCACCTGCTTCTTTCATGTGGTTCCCCTACAGATGTATTGATTTATGCATTAGATTCAGTCTCTACACCAACTACTTACTGTTCATTCTCTGTCTGTAGTCATTACCAGGATCTTGTGGAGTATGACACTTAGCTGAGATTTTCCATTTAGACTCTTGACCTCATACTACTAACTAAAGAGGTATCATCTCAGTAAAGCCATGGGAAATATCAGGGCTAACCTCAATGTTTTCCATTCTACCTTTAAGTCTTAATCACATGGGTTTTCCTCTAATGCCCAGAGTTTATCGTGTTCTTTCATTGTCCTCCTATATTAGGGTCAGTCAATATGTAGACTCCTTTTTACAGAGTAAGAAACTGGTACAAACACAGAAATGAGAAAGGGCAAGAGAACTTGTAAGCAGTGGGGCTCCCTTTACAACCCAGGGGTCTCTGACCCCAGGACATGTGCCCTCCACCCGTTGTTTCAACCAAGCTTACTAGTTACTTGCAAACTTCAGAGTGTAGTTGATATCTTACGTTCAAATGTTTTTATGAAATAAATGATCCAGTAATGGATTCAACCCTCTTATAAAATGCAAAAAAATTACTGCAAAAAATCATTGTAAATTTTAAAAGACCCTTATTCAACCACTATGTTTTTCTAACTCATCTGATTTTTGAACTGCATCAGCATAAAACTGAAGGCATTTTCACTCAACTCAGTAACCTACATTTAGTGATAAACATTAGCGGAGTCTTAAATAAACACAACAGCTTACAAAGACAACTGAAATAGGATAAGCTGACAGCATGCCCCGAGGTCATGTTCATGCATGCAGTAAGAAGCTATACTGTCCATTGCCACTCTAGTGGAAATGAAATGTAGAGGTAAAATTTTCCTAATGAACAAGTGTGGTTTTTCTGAAACCATTCAGCATATAGGATGGTGTCTTCAGCTATGAAGAGGATTAATAGTGTATTCTCACACATACTTCATAAGTCTAAGAATGTTCAGGCACTGACTAGAAAATTGGAAAATCTCAAAGATAATCAAGATGCTTAACTGAGGAATAAGAATTTGTCTTTCCTCCTAGCAATAGTGGAGAGGGCACCTGAACTGGCCTTACTCTGTAATCAGATGACTACCGTAACTGTCATCATAGAGCCTTCATCCAGTGACTGATGGAAGCAGATGCAGAGATCCACAGCTAGGCACTGGGCTGAGCTCCTGGAGTCTTGTCGAAGAAGGGGAGGAGGGATTGTATGGGGCAGGGAGGGGGGTCAAGATTATGATGAAGAAACCCACAGAGATAGCTGACCCAAGCTAGTGGGAACTCATAGACTCTGGACTGATGGCTGAAGAACCAATCAGGCCCTCTGAATGTGGGTGACAATTGAATGACTTTATCTGTTTGTGGTACCCCAGCAATGGGACCAGGATTTATTCCAGGTGCATGAACTGGCTTTTTAGAGCCCATTCCCGATGGTGGGACACCTTGCTCACCCTTGATGCAGGTCCCAAGGAGGGAGGGCCTTGGTCCTGCCTGAACTTCATGTGCCAGACTTTGTTGTCTCCTCATGGGAGGCCTTACCCTCTCTGAGGAGTTGATGAGCGGTGGGGTAGGGGAGAGGCTTGGGGGGAGGGAGCAGGAGGAAGGGAGGTAGGGGGAACTGTGGTTGGTATGTAAAATAAAAAAAATAAAATAAAAAGAAGAATTTGTCTTTCTAAAAGTTTGATGCATGTACAAATTATGTTATTTTTCAGTTTTAATAGTGACTCATTGCTAAGAAACTATCATGTGTCTGGTAATTTATTCTCCATTTGTTTTTAGCATCTCCAATGATCTCTAAGTTAGGCAATGTTATGAACTAATGTAAAGACTATTACAAGTCCCAAATGTCAGGTTGATACCACTTACGATCTTCTGATTCTAGACATGCTCTTCCTTTGATCTTTTTTTTATCAGTAGGATGAATTCAGTGATCATAGCTGCTTCAACTAATATATTTTAAGTACAGGAATAGTTTGTGTGCAATGGTACATCATTGTGACTAATATTCATGAGAAAATGGAGACTTGGTAAGTTATGATAACTCAGTTACATGTAGCTTATATGTGCCAGAACTAGAAGTCAAATTAGTCATTTGTAGAGTGTTCACATTGCCCTCATCCTATGAAAATACCTATTTATTGTCTGCAGTTCAAATTTCAAGAAAATAAGTGTGCCATTTACAATTACTGTTGTCAATAAGAAACATAAGATGAAGGTATCTCCTAGAGATTAGAGTTTATTGACACTTATTAAATGGTAGACACCTAAGGATTAGCAGAGTAGCTCTCCATCCCTCAAGAGTAAAGCACTTGGAGACAGTTGTCTTCTTAAAAGGGCATATTGAGAGAAGAATGTGCTTCTAAGTACATTTCCCTGGCATTTTGACCATGAAGAAGTTACTAAAGTACTTTGAAGATCAATTTTTCTACCATGAAAATGCATAAATAATTGCAATTTTCAGCTCTAGGCTGTTGATAAATCCAAACAGGAATGTAATATTTGTGAAAACACTTTTTAAAACACACCGAGGGTAGAACTGAATAGTATTGTAAAATAAATTTAAAAAAAAAACCCACTGAGGTAAATGGCTATAAATGCTTATTGCTGTGATGTTATGATGCATTTAATTCATCAGGTTTTATTGAATGGTTAATGTAGTGCAATGGCCTCTTTCATAGGAATGGCATAAACTCAAGTGTTGCTTCCTGTATGTGCAGATCAAAAGCCAAATTACTACTGGCATGTGATCATTTCCAGCCAATTCTTTCCACGGCATTATGGAAAGTAAGAACGGCCTAATCACAGATCTGGAACTTACCAGATTACAAGATGCAGGGCATGACATAAAAACAGTCAAGCCTTAAGTGAGCCAGTGAGCGAGCGAGAACCCACATAAATCATTTCCCAGATGAACAAATGATACGAAGTACATTTGATACAATGTGTACACCTAGTACAATAACATCACCAAATGAATAGGTGTTACAGAGATATCACCAACATATTCAGAAGTTTATCTCATGTCATTTTCTTCAACTTTACTATCCAATATTGTTCCAAATTCCTTAAAATGCTGAATAGATAATAACCCCACCATGCATAACTTTGGTCTTATTACTTAAAAGTATCAATCAGTGTGCATACTTTGCTTACTGAACTCCAATATTTTCTGATTGCCTTTTCATTTAAAATGTCTGCCCTACCAGCATTCTGAAGCTATAATCACATTCCACAATTAATTGGGCTCATAATAATAGTAAGCAAGAACTAAAAGAAATTGTCTTTAGCTAGAAAAAATAGGCCACAAATGCCCGACACAGTTGAATATATCCAAGCAGCTTTCCTTGATATCTTGTAGAACCAGGCTTAACATAGCAGTTAAGGCCTAAAAACCCACTTTCACCGTGGAAGGATCTGTTTGGGGTTTCTACTGCACACATAGTATTTGCTTTGTTTGACTGACCACAAATTATCCGATTCCATCCTCTCTGTGTACACCCACACACATTCAAGTGCTTCCATTAATGGTAAGCCACTAAAACCATGAGAGAGCACAGCCAGCAGTCACTCCACACCAGCTCTAGATCTTAGTTCTTTAAGCAAAGGATACCCAAAGGTCTCAGGGCTTAGCTTATTGATGCATAGGTTTTAAACAACTACATTGGGTCTAAAAGATGCCACAGAAGCCAAGAGATTGAGTAAAAAACTTGTAACATTTCTACATAATGATGAATAAATTAATATCAAAGACTTTTATGAGATTTTTGACATAGGATAACAGATGGCATTTACATTTTGAACTTGACA